AATATTGCCTACTAGCTTATGCTAGTAGGCAATATTCTCGGACATTGTTCTTGTAAAATGTGCTATTTAAGTATCTAAACATTCTAACGGACAATGTATTTATCTTATTTTCAAGTATATTATGTGTGTTTATTGTCGTTAGTGTCACAGACTAACGGGGAGGTTATGGTTCGGACTTTTTACTTCCGAAGCCTGACGGAGCTCAACAAGCCTCATAGCTTGACAGTAGCTATGAGTCTTGTTGAGACCTGGTTCAGCTGTTCAGGTTCAAAGTTGCTGCTTTTAGAAAATTATGATCGTGTTGCTTCATGTTTCCGTGTTATTTCGTTTTATTACCTTTGCATGTTTCTTGTGAAGAGCTCAGATTGGACGGCGTTTACAGCAGTATGTACAGGCGGATCAGTTGCTCGGCTGTCTGGCTCTGGTCTGCTCTCTCGTTCCCATAAACTCTTTCAGGCTGAATATAGAAGTGATTCCATGAAAATAACTCAGGAAGGCTCCTTTATTTCCCATCCGTATCCCCGGTAGTTTTAGGCTGATCCGGAGTGAAGTTAAGGCTGCAAACTTTGTGTTGTGCAGCGTTAGCTTTAACTGGTAGTGACAAATATTTACATGCCAGCATCTTCTTAATTCAGGATCGCTTGGAAATTAATGAAAACTTAAAAGCCCATTATATTAGGAAGACCACAACGTTCATAGTATTGCGTTTTTTGCATCTGAAATACGACTTAGTCTTTTCTACCAGTCATGGTAACTCAAAGCGGAATAAAGTGAGCCGCATTAGCTCCTGGAGATGTGACGTCAACGCCGTAGGTGCAAAGAGCCCATTTGGTAAAAACTGTGAGTTTTGTTGAAGTAATTAAAGACACAAGTTCAAATCCATGCTGAGAGTGGAGCTCCTTCAATCAGGGCTCCTCCACAGCTCTGATTGGCTCAGCAATGTAACGTGATCCTCTGCAGCAACTGATGACAAAGCGGGGCGTCATCACGACTTTACATTAGTGTGTCTTTACCTCCGTGGCAGAGGCTCCGCCGAACCCCTGGGGTTCGACCGAGCCCAGGTTAAGAACCACTGCATAGAACATCAAGCTAACGTTGCAGTTCTTTTGATGACCACTAGTGTATTTTACATTCCATCATTTCATAAGTAAAATGAGATAACATCAAACTTGGCTTTGTCCAAGATGGAACTCAGAAAACTAGAGGAAACTGCAAATTGTTGTGCTCAGAGGTCAGGCTAACACTGTTAGCAGTGCAAGGTAGTGACAATGTAATACTCAGAGTGTGACGCATTTAAACATTAAAGTAAATATTGTAAGTGTTATATATGCAGCAGCTAATTTAATGAGATACAGACTGTCAGGAGTGCAAATAAAAGTTCAGTACTGCAACCATAGCCCTCTTTCAGATCATAGTCTGCAAAAAAAGATGCAACTACCAACTATTGATTACATTGTTTGTGGTGCAGTTGGTAGCACTGTTGCCTTGCAGCAAGAAGGTTCTGGGTTCAATTCCCGGCCTGGGGTCTTTCTGCATGGAGTTTGCATGTTCTCCCTGTGCATGCGTGGGTTTTCTCCAGGTACTCTGGTTTCCTCCCACAGTCCAAAAACATGACTGTCAGCTTAATTGGTCTCTCTAAATTGTCCCTAGGTGTGAGTGTGTGTGTGCATGGTTGTGTGTCTCTGTGTTGCCCTGCGACAGACTGGTGACCTGTCCGGGTGACCCCGCCTCTCGCCCGGAACGTTAGCTGGAGAGGCAGCAGTACCTCCTGACCCCACTAAGGGACAAGGGTGTTAGAAAATGGATGGATGTTTCCCATCATACAAGTTGATGTGCATACAGTACAGGTCTTTAGGAATTTCAGAGATGCATCTGAGTTTGCAGAAGCATTTTGGCATAGCTGACAACATGCAACTTTCACCTGAGTAAGAAGTTTTCTCCAGAGTAACCCTCCATAATCAGATGAAAGCTACACTTAATGTCTCTGCTCTCTGATGTCAAACACATTTTGCAAAATGTGTTTGAGTGTCCCATACTCGTCATAGTAATTACAGGTGCTTTCACATCACCCCCCTTAGACTGCTTTAATCAAACAGTCTGGTTGTTTTGAGGAGATGAGATCAAAAAGGTGAACTCTGGTCCGCCAACAAACCCGTTTCATTTTAGTTGGAAGTGAACTCTGATGTGGCTCGAATGCATATGTGAACGCCAAGCAGACCAGAAACCACCCCAAAAGCAGGAAGCAAACCTACCCAGGACATTCTGGATAAATGCAACCAACACAAAGACAAAATATAAATCTTCCAATCACTATGTTATTTATATTTGGTGAAGAAGGAAGTTGTGCTCAGTGTCTTCTTCAGAGGGTTTTTTTTTGTTTGTTTTGCTTTCTTCAGTATTTTCCTTCAGTGGTTCTTGGTGCAAAGCCACCACAGGTGAAGGGGTGAACAGTGGCCTGTTTGACACTGCAGTGTGAAACCAAACCACTGCTACATTGGTGCATTGATTTAGCCCACAACCCCCTTACCTGTCGCCCCCTTCCATATGTGGATCATTCAGTAATGATGTGTAAACACATGTAAACCCCAAAACCTGTAATGATCTTAAAGGGGCCAAACCCCACCTCCCCTATAACAGTTGGCAGCCATTTTGGACTTCTGACTTTGGAGTTTGTGAGGTAGCTCCAACTTTCCCAGTCAGAATTCCAATATTCCAATTTCTGAATGAAAGAATAAAACTTTTCAGCCTTTAAATGGAGCATTTCCACAACTGGAACCTTTTCCAGGAACCAGTCTAGTTTTCTGGGGCCAATTATTATTATCCTCTATATTTACCAGGGTAGTTGTACCCTGGTAAATATACCTCTGTACTACCTGCAGAGGTAGCACAGTTCCTTTTTCCAGCAATGTTGTGCTTTAAATGGAGCATTTTGAATTAAATGAATAATTTCAACATCATGCTTTAAGGTTACCTTAAATGCTACATTTAGTGTGTGCGACAATCACTAGCATGCTGATGATACTATTACAATGTGTTGGAGCACAAGCATGAAGCCTATGTTTTAAGGCAATATCCCAATGTACTCTTTCCCCAGGTTAAATACATAGAGTAGCCAAGTATACTCAGGCATTCATTTTGAACATTTCAGTAAGCTTGATTTCAAAAGGTCACACCAATCATGCTTAACAGTAGCTTTGTTATACACATTTTATAAGGGCCAAATATGCAATTAGCCATTGTGTAAAACATGAATGGTTTTGTTTTGTAGGCTATGTGTGGGCCTTATTTTGAAAGTTCAGTGTGGTTCAAAGTGTGCAATGACAATCATGGAATCTTTGTCTTGAACCAATATCCCACTGATCTTTTATCACCTTAATATGGAGACAGTATGAAAGGAACACGGAGGCTTTTACTTTGAAATTTTCAGTAAGCTTAATTTTACATGACCACACCAATCCCATGTATCAGTGGTTGTTGAATTATACTAATTTTCTAAAGAACAAATCAGCAAATAGCTGTTGTGTAAAATCTTTTATTTGGTGGGGTGTATGAACCAGCAGCAGGTTTCACAGATAACTTTAGCAAAACATGATTTTAAAGATCCAAACGGAAAACACTTTCCATCCAGGACCTTCACTAAAACATTTTTCCCATACTTCCCTCTTGCCGCTTACAGCACAGTGCTTGTATCCATTCCAGGTGAGAAAGTGGGTGTAGACATGTGCAGATAATAAATCTCCTACAGTCACCACACAGTGTTGTATTATGTTGAGTATCCTGTTGCTAGGGAAGAGAGGGAAGTACCTGCCACCAAAACCAGAAAATTACCATTGATGTGTGATTGAAAATGATGTGATGAGTAATAACTGAGGGACAGAATATTAAAAGTTAAAGTTTTTGTGTCAATCCACACGTCAGTATCTAGGAGCTGAAAAGTGTGGAATGCCTGTCTGTCAAACCATGTTTACTTTTAGGTGTTTTGGGGTATCATCAGACAGAACAAGCTCAGGCAGATTGGATGGAGAGCATCGATGAAGATCATTTTCCCATACATTCTCAAATAAATTTAAGCCTGGACTTTGACTAGAACATTCAAACACAAAAATATGCTTTGATCTAAACCAGATCAAAACATTTTGTCATGTGGGTCAACATCAACAAGGTAAAAGTACTCTGCCTCAAAAATTCAACATTGCATATTTTTAATGCAAGCAAAGCAGACAGAGTATCACAGGACCTGGATCAGTGAATTATTCTACACCTGAATGATGCCAGACATCTTGCAGGTTTACCTTAAAACAAAGGCACGCGGTTCTTTTGAGTCGATTGTTTCCTATTTTGGTTTGGGATCAAAATTCTTTCAAGCAAAAGTGGTTGAATGCTTTTGGTCTACAGCTGCTCGTGATCAAATTAAATGGTAAGAAAAATAAATGTGGTGAGCACCACATAAATGCTTTCATGTTTACGATTTTAGAAGAAAAATCAGGCTCTAAAAACAAAGAATGGTGAAGCATCAGACGCCTTTGATGGGAGCCACAGTTGTACCATTATGGAATTAACGCTCTATGAACGGAAACAAAATTGTGGGTGCGCAAGAAAATTAAAACCATGTATTTTCTTTCCACTTCATAATTATATACAAATATGTATCACCTTGTCAGCAAAAGTTCAAAAACTCTGCAAAAATCCTACCAGAAATAAATGCGGTGAATCTCCGTTGAAAGTTGGCAACAGGGAGGAAATGGTTGACGAGGGCAGGAAGGAGCTGCCAGAGCTGGAGAAGGTGGCTGCGCTACGGTAGTCACCAAAGGTTTCTGGGTAGTAGCTGTCGATGAGAGAGGAGTAGCTGCTCATAGAGGAGGGTTGTGTGGAAGAATAGACATCGGAAGGAAACTGCTTGGTGGGTGTGCAAAAGTCTGCGTCGGATATGAAGGGACGCCTCATGCTGTAGTAGCTGGGCAGCATGTGTGATCCTGCATGAGGGTAAGAAAACATTTGTCATATGATATATAAAAATAATGTGCTGGGATTGTTGGAGCCAAAAATTTGGGAGTGGTAAAAGTCTATAGATTTAATGTTGAAGATCTGTGTTACTTTGAGACATACCTGGCATCTGGACAAACGAAGGTGGAGTAGTCGATCCTCCCTGTGAGGAAGAAGTAGGGTTTTAATTCTGGGATTCCCTGAGTTTATTATAAACCAGGCTTTACTTGCCACCCCACCCCCAGGTTAAGCATTCTTTATTTATTTTAAAAAGTTTTTTTAATGTACTAGCAAGAGTGACAGTAAAGACAGAGTAAGCTAGGTTTGACTGACTGAATGGGAAGTGAGAGGGTCAGCACAAATTGTGCCATCCATGATATATTTCAGATTATTAGTTTATCAATAGCATCCCTCAAGAAGAAAACTTTTAAATTTTGGTTGAAATCATATGATTT